GAGTGATGTCTGATGATAACTTGGTTTCATTTTTTCTCTCTTTTAAAAATAGCAATTCAGATAATTGATGTGTTAGATTTGAATCCACTAATTTCTTTTCCATCTCACCAAGTCTGTTGAATGTTTAACGACTCTTGTATCTTTTGACAGCTGAATTTCTTTGATATCATATCCTGAAAGCTTGATGGCACTGCTTTTCATTGCAGGAAAGCCACACAAACAAGACTGTGCAAGATAAACAAAGATTGTCTACAGAATCGTCGAGACCATCATTCTCATCTTCTTCACGTTCGTCTTCCTTTTCTTCTCTTGATTGTAATAAAACAAGTCAACAAGAGCCCTTAGCTTTTGATCGACTAAGTTTTGCTGAAACTCCTTCAAGAGAACCAGCTGCAGGCCAACCAAATGCATCACCACAATTTGGTAGGCAATCTCTTGACATTCGGGATGTGGTTAAGGATTCTATGAATAGAGAAGCTCAGAGGTTCTCAGCTGGACCTGCAGTGAAAGAAGAGGTGGCAGAATCGATGTCAAAGCCCGGGGATTCCCCAAGGCCAGTTCAGACTTTGAAAAACTTTGACGGGGCTTATGATTCGGGCCCAAATGGGAAGCAGAATTCGTCTGTTGATCTTAAGGAATCTCTCAGAGTTCTTGCTAAACTTCGGGAAGCTCCTTGGTACTCAAGTGAACATAGGGAACTTACAAGATCATTATCATATCATTCAAAGGATACTTCTACATTATCAGTCTCGAAAGATGCTCCTCGTTTCTCATATGATGGGAGAGAAACAAATCATGTACCCTTTGAACAGCGAGACATTTCCAAATCCACTCTTAAGCTTAAAGAGCTACCAAGACTTTCCTTGGACAGTAGAGTTAGTCCAGTACGAAGCTTGAACTCAGAACCAAAATCTAATTTCTCCTCAAAATCTATGCAGAAGGATAGTGGTAATACCAATGCAAAGTCACCAACTCTGCAGCAAACATCTGGGACTCCGGCTCGTCCTCCTAGTGTTGTGGCAAAGCTAATGGGTCTTGATACACTACCTGGTTCCATGTCATCAACTGACAACAAGATGGGGTTGAGCACTTCTTCACAAGTTGAAGCACCTGTTTCTTTTCCAAGGTCTTCAGAAGTATCTGATCCGTGCAAACCTATCCGAACTTCTAATACCTCTAAGAACCTGTGGAAAGAACCTACTTCTCCTAAGTGGAGAAACCCTGATATGGCTATGAAACCTATATCCAGGTTTCCCATTGAACCAGCACCCTGGAAGCAACCTGATAGGACTCGAGTGTATGAGAAACCGATATCCAGGACAACAAAAACTCCAGTAAAGCCAGCCCACCCCTTTCCTTCTGTTTACAGTGAGATAGAAAAGAGATGGAAGGATCTAGAATTCACCCATTCAGGCAAGGATCTAAGAGCTCTTAAACAGATATTGGAAGCAATGCAGGCAAAGGGCCTCCTAGAGACAGAAAAAGAGGAGCAGGATTCAAATTTTACTGGTCAGAAAGAGCATCACCAGAAGTTTGCAAGTCCTGCACAGAGTGCAAAACTGGCGAACCAGAGAATGAGGCAGACTGATCAAGTGACTGCTCCAACAAAGAGGGGGATTAATTCTTCAAGGAATTTTGAATCCCCAATAGTGATCATGAAGCCAGCAAAATTAGTGGAAAAATCTGACATTCCTTCGTCTTCGATGATTCCACTTCATGGTGGTGACTCTGTCAGTAGAAAGGGTAATTCTGTGAGCAGGGCTGCTAAAGAACATCAACCTAGAACTAGTCATGGAAACAGTCCAGTGAATCCCAATGAAGCAAGAAGAACTTCGAAACCTCCACAGATTTCAACAAGGTCCCAACAGCTTCCTAAAGAGATCATCTCAGGCTCAATAAAGAGCTCAGGATCCATCAGTCCAAGATTGCAACAGAATAAACTGGAGCTAGAGAAAAAATCTCGGCCACCCACACCTCCATCTGATTCCAACAGATCGAGGAGACAGTCAAACAAGCAACATACAGAGGCTAGTTCCCCAGGCGGAAGACGAAGGCCAAGAATTTCAAACATCCAGCAACATGATGACCATGTGAGTGAGATCAGTAGTGAATCAAGGAATTTGAGTTGCCACGGGAATAAAATTTCTGGTCAATCCAATGGGAATGTGGTAGCAGAATCAAAAGTGGATTTCGAAGTTACTAGTTTCGAGCGCTCTCTTGAGATGACAAGCAGCCCGAGTTCATCTATTGATGCATCCAGTTACCTGAGATGTGACTTGGTAGAGAAGGTAAGAAATTTCCATTTATTTGTGCATTTTATAGAGTACTTCAAGCAGGCCATTACATGCTTGACACTGTGACTTCCATTTCAGAAATCAATTCGGGTGCTCTCTGAGGATGAAATGTTAACTGAACCTGCTCCAGAGTATCCAAGTCCGGTATCGGTTCTTGATAATGCTGTATATATGGATGAATCACCCTCTCCTGTGAAGCATACTCCAAAAGTCATGAAAGGTGCTGCTTTCCCTTAGTATTTTTGTGAAGAAATTATAAGCACGTCTACATAAGCAAATATGAGTGGAAATAATAAATGAAACTAGCTCCTTATGTGGATGACATGTTGGGGATATATTTTTAGATTTTGTTAGCTGAAACTAAACATCTGATCAGGAATATTCACTTTGCAGTTATCCATCCATGGCTATACAAATAAGTGAATGCCAGCAGAATTTTAAATAATACAAAAGGAAAAATAAGTAGAAGAGAGACTAAATCTCTGAATAAAATAGGCCAAGGACAGCGTAAGGAAATTTAGAAGTTAAGTCTTTTGGGATGTTGAAGTGTGAGCAGGATTTCTCCAATAACAGCGATAGCAAATGCCCAAACTTGGCTCCTTAGGAGTTCAGACTCAACTAGATCAAGAGACTATAATCACTTTGAGAGAACAAAGTGAAACATGAATAGTAACATGTTAAGCTAAGAAGGCACTTACATCTATATGTACATCTATATGGTCTTTATATGCACTAGATTTTTCAGTTCTGGCTTTTATGCTTTCATGTTCTGGTCACTTATGTCAGCTAGAATAGCGGAAAATGGTAGTAAACCTTAAATAATTCTTCTCATCACAATGTTGGCTCCGAAAAGAACTTGCTTGCTCAAGATCAGGCCATCCACACTGGACACCAGTTTATTCACTGCACTTGAACCTCCTTTGTTTTTCAAAACTAAACATATTGGAGTTCTAATTCTAGTAGGAAAAGTAAGATCAATAGCAAATATTTTAAAGATGCTCAAATGAATTTATAGTGAACATTCAGTAAGAAATATCAGATATGAGTCTCTATTATGTTGTCAGAGTCCCTTGTCTAGAGATTAAAACAGTCCTGACTATTCAGGTCTCAGAATATATACACTGCTTAAGAAGTTGGATTCTATTTGTTTGTCTCATTTCTGTTATTCTGTGACAGATGAAAGCTGCAACACTGCTGATAAATTTTCCAGTCCGCCACAGTGTGATCGATCTAATACTCTTGCGATTGATGCCACCAGTTCTGGTCTCTCCTCAGAAATCAATAGAAAAAAGTTGCAAAACATTGAGAATTTAGTTGAGAAGCTCAGGAGATTGAACTCCAGCCATGATGAGGCTCGCACGGATTACATTGCGTCTCTCTGTGAGAACACAAACCCTGACCACAGATACATTTCAGAGATCTTATTGGCTTCAGGACTCCTTCTCAGGGATCTCGGCTCAAGCCTAACTAGTTTCCAGTTCCATCCATCAGGTCACCCAATCAACCCTGAGCTGTTCCTAGTCTTGGAACAAACCAAGGCAAGCACTTTACTCAAGGAGGAACTCTGCAATGATAAGATGAGGCAGTCGAATCCAAAGGAAAAGATCCGTAGGAAACTCATCTTTGATGTTGTTAATGAGAGTCTTGCTGGAAAACTAATGCTAGTGGGACCTTCGTACGAGCCATGGTTGATGTCCCAGAAGCTAGCAAAGAGCACCCTGAATGCTCAAAGGCTTCTAAGGGACTTGTGCTCAGAGATAGAACAACTTCAAGCTAAACCATCAAAATGCAACATGGAGGATGAGGAGGATGAGTGGAAAAACATACTGCTGGATGACGTGGTGCATCGTTCAGAGAGTTGGACGATTTTCACAGGTGAGATATCGAGTGTAGTCCTTGACGTGGAGCGGATGATCTTTAAAGATTTAGTTGATGAGATAGTAAGGGGTGATGGTTCTGGTTTGAGAGCAAAACCAACTAGGCGTAGACAGCTCTTTGCAAAATAGTATCATTCCATTCTCGACTTCTCTTTGTTTTCCTTTTCAGCTAATTATATTGAGTAGTAAAATAATTCAGGAATACTCATTTGTGTGATGTATTGTAAAGGAACAATTGTCACTTAATTGTATTACCAACATATCTAATCAAGATCACCAGTGCAGAAAAATGTACTATATCCTGTATTATTTAGCTTTTGCTTGGTGCAAATTAAACATTCCTGTAGTATCACTAATCCACGATATATAGTATTAGACAATTTTCAACTCATTATAAAAATCATAATTTTTCCTACGTTGATTTTTCCTTTTCTCCTAGTTGGTATTAGGCTATCTTTACGTCATTAACTAGAGGTTTCGATTCGAGTCCTAAGTATGGAGAAAATCCTATTGGGAATTTCATCCTCGAATGGCCTTTGCCAAGTGCGATCCAAATTTAGTCGAACCTGGAAATCCTCCAAGAAAGCTAAATTTGTATTTTCTCATCAAATGTAATGTAAATACTTGAAATGTAAGGATTTCTCTTTCTTATCGGGCTTTAGGTGTTTTGAATTCTTTTTAGATATGATTTAAGAGTTTAAGTATTTAATTTTAAGATAAAAGAATTTATATAATAGTGATTTATATCGCAAAGGTATTTAGTATAATAACGTACGTGATAAATATGTGCAAAAACTTCATGATTTGTGAATATCAGATTTATAATTTTTATTGAAATTTACTATCGACGTGCCTCCGTAGCATAGTGGTAGTGCGTTCGCTTCGTAAGCGAAAGGTCGCGAGTTCGACCCTCGCCGGGGGCTATAATTATTTTTATTTATCATTTTTTTCCAATCAGATGTCCAGAGCTCTTCTGATTAAGAATGAAATACTTTCACAAGTAAACCATAACCTGTTATCTTCTTTTTCACCATAACTTTAATTTTTTGCAATACATCTTTTATTCAATCTTGAAAAAATAAACAATCAAAAACACCATATCTTCAAAAAAAAAAAAAAATGGCATTACTACCTTTAGTTCAAAAACCATTAACCCCTTTTCCTTCTTCCAATATTTCTAACAAACCAAAACCCAAAACCCAAATGTCCCTCAATTTCACCAGAAGAACAACACTAATTCTTTGCCCAGCAATTTCAATCAACCTTTTAAGTAAACAACAAAATGCCAATGCATTTGATTTCAGAATCACAGTTCCAGACCAAACACTTGAAGAAGCAGAGGATGGAATTAAAAATCATGCCAAAAATTTATTACAAGTCAAAGAATTATTTGAGGGAGAATCTTGGAAAGAAGGTCAAAAAGCATTGAGAAAAAGCTCAGCTTTATTGAAACAAGATATGTATACTATAATTCAAGCTAAACCAGGTATACAAAGACCTGAATTGAGGAAAATGTATTCAATTCTGTTCAATAATGTTACAAAAATGGATTTTGCAGCTAGGGATAGGAATGTGCCACGTCTATGGGAATGTTATGATAATATTGTCATAGCTCTTAACAATCTTATGTCAAGATTATTATAGTAAATGTTTTATATGATATTTTATTCGAGATATCTGTCACCTTCCATCAACAATAAGTATTAAATTGGAAAGGATCAACAGCTATTTCATTTGTGATTTTTTTTTTTAATTTAAGTTTTGCTTATTATGTTTGATGTAATTAAGAGCTACTCTTGTAATCAGAGTTATATATGTAATTCCTTGCTATTGAGTTTAACTTATGTATAACGAGTTAATATCTTAAAAGGTCACTGAAATATGTGAATTTATCGGGTAAAGTCATTAAATTTTATTTTATATCAATAAAATCATTCAACTCAACACATTTATCTACAAAACTCACTAACTTGACATTTATATATAAAAATCACTCAACTACATTTATTATTAAAATAAATTTAATATAACAAAATAAATTATTTGTTTGGCTATATAAACATGACCCCCCCAAAATAAATATAATATTTTTAAAACCAATTTATCCTGTTTATCAATTTATTCAGTTCCTTGTCCAATCACAAGTGAAAATGATAAAATTTTGGGTGTAAAATACATATTCATAAGAGATCCACAATCATATAACAACCAACTAGAGCCTAGCAATACAAAATCAATGAAATTTCATAAATCACATCAAGGAATTGAAAAGAAAAACCATTCGTTATTGTTGAAGAAGAAGGAAGTTGACGATTTTGGAACATGTCAAAAGAACAGGTCCAACGCAACTGACTAGAAGATGACTATTGGAACATGTCAAAGGAACAGGTCCAATGAAGCCAGTCTGGCAAATTTACAGCACTGCTGAAGAATTAGAGTCGCACTAGGATTAGACTGCCTATGTTAATTAGGATTATATCTCGTCTAGAATTATATTATGATCAGGATTATAGTACAACTAGGATTAAATTATTTATAATTGCATTATTATTATTATTATTATAGTAATAGTAATATGTATTTTAATAGTACTCTAAGTATAGTTAACTTAGGACTCTACGTGAAATTTTTATATGAATTTCTACCGTTATTACTTTTTAATTGTTTTGATTTATACACTATTTACTCATTTAGTTGTATTAATCATTAATATATTTGTATATGGAGACTGGACTCTTGGACCATCTAAACAAAGTAATCAATAGATAATGATTGTTTCAGCCAACAAAAAAAGAACATTTTTACGAATAGTGGCACAAAATAAAAAAAATGAAAATTGAAGTAACTTGGGAAATGCGGATTTATTCGGAGGTTGAATATAAAATCTTGACTTTTGAAATTCACATTTATGTGATATGTAAAATAATTTATATGGCATGTTAAATTTATTTGAGGATAAATTTTCTTTAAAAAAAGGAAGAGAAAAAACAAAATATGATTTTTGAAGTTTTATATATTTATGGAGTTTTAAGTGACCTATAAAGTATTTTGTTTTGTCTTATTAAATAAATGAAAAATGTAGTTGAGTGATTGATGATAAAAATTTTAAGTTGAGTGATTTTATTGGTATAAAATAATGTTTAATGACTTCACTTAATAAATTCTCATAGTTCAGTCACCTTTTAAGACATTATTTCGTGACTTTGCTTGATTTTTTATGTCTAGTATTTTATCTTGAACTAAGATGCAATTCTTTCCTATTTATTGAAAATTTTAAGGGATTATTTGATAACATGTATTTGAGAAATTAATAAATTCTATTTATTATAAAGTATATATGTATTAATGTATAACTAATGCAAAACAACTCATGTTGCATGTTGAATTTTGTTATTTGCTGGATACAATTTTGAGTTTGTATGTTGAATTTTGTTATTTGTTGGCTACAATTTTGCAAAATTATATACTCTCTTTGTTTTTATGTATTTGTGATATTTTTCTTTTAAGGTGAAATTGCTAAGTGTTTTATGATATATATTTTTATCATACTAATATGAGAAGAATTGAAATTTATAGTATATTTCATGTATATATATTTTTCAAAAATTCAAGTTTAAAATATTAAATTAATTTAATTCAATTTAGGTTAAAATATGAGTCATAATTGTTGTAAGGAAATGTGACGAAGTAAAAAAGGAACATAGGGAGCATAAACCACTTGGTTACTTTTAGCGATGATATATATACACGTTAATACAGAGCGCTAAATCTCTACTAGCGTTAGTCAATTGTCATTAGATTCAATATCAGTGTATAGACTTTCGAGACATTTACAAAGAGTGTTAATGGCCGTTAGCAATTAAGTTATTGTTAAAAGATGATTAATTTTGGTGTACTCTCTCAAATCTCAATTAGTAACATGCTTCAAGTGAGGGAAAAGTAGTTTGTTACTTGCAACTTTTTAGTTGTCCCCATGTACCAATGGCAGCTTTAATTCATCCTTTACACAACTATTCATTCAACATTTGGAATATATCTTTCCATCTTTGATAAATTTGGAAGCAAAGTTATAATTTGACATATCCTTTTGTGGGACTGTTGAATCAAAAAGTTTTGGAATTTGTGTTTCCATATGCCTTTTTCTTTCTTAATTCAGACTTAGGGCTTTAAAACTCAAGTTTTAATGAAATTATTCAGAAAATAAAACATAAGAAAAGATGTAATGGACCTTGACCATCGTGAGGGTGTTAAGAGGTGAATTTAATTGAATTTGAGCGAGTCAAGTCAAGGGACCTGTTGAATCTATCGAGACGGGATTCAAATTCACACACTTAAGCATGAGTAATATAAATGGGGGCTCAACATTGAAAAGAAAATGAATTTTGAACATAACGCAAACCAAAAAGGAACTCTCGCTAAAAAAAAGTTATCTAAAATTGTACGAATAGAAATAAGGGATTTGTGCAATCAAACGCAATACTAGAAGTAACCCTAAATATATAAAACAAATTAATATTGGACCACAGCATCTGGTAACATTAATACAACCTTAGCCTTTTCACGTGGAAATTATATTTTCCTTTAGCCAGAGGAAAAAGAGCCATTAAAGGTGTGCTGTACCAAGAAAAATAAACATTTTTAATTTTTCTTGTTTAGTTTATTAAATCTTATAGATAATATTTTCTATAGGAAAATAATTTTTTCAAAAGTAAGAAAAATAACTGTTTTCATCAATAGTAAGAACCTTTTTTTTTTGTAAAAAAACTAATTTTATTTTCCTAAAAATTACCCAGTTATATATAAAAAAAAAGTTAAAAATACTTCTCAATTGTAACATACTATCCTTTATGTCAATCAGTTAATTTCAAGATTCCATTTTTCATGCATCTCCAAACTTACCATTATAATAATAAAAGTAATAGAATAGCATTGTAGTACTCCATATGTTTTTTCAAAAAAATGATCTATTTTTTTTAACTGTTTCGAAAGGAGTGATTTTTTTTTATTTTGGTAACAATTTAATTTCAATTTGGTGTATTTGTTATAATTTCAATTTAAGATCTCAAAATTGAAAAACCTTTTTTACTTTTTTAAATTAATGTAAAATTAGCTTAGATTATTCTTTTTAAAGCGAAGGAAGTATTATTTTATTTTTTCTACTTTAGAAAAAGAACACCTTTCAATGAAAAAAAGAATTCTTGGATCTAGTGTCATGAATATAATGTTGATAATATACTATATAATACTATAGAGTATTGATGCAATCCAATCTATGTCCATTTGTTTTATCTCCTTTCCCTTTCATTCATACATAGAAGAAATATAGATTCCAATATTCACTTCCTTTTTCTTCCTTCCATGCTTGTACTCATTTCATATAATAATAATAATAATAATATATCCCCTTCCTTTTCCTCTTTAGAACAATTACTCTTTTTCTTCTAGGGTTTCTTTTTTTAAGTTGTCACTATTACAATTATATATATACTTCACCATGTTGACCAACAATTTTTAATCATAAATACGAAATTGATCGAATAACTTATTTGTCTTCTAACGGTATAACATATTATTCTTAATGATCGAATAACTTATTTGTCTTGCGTACTAGCCCTTGATCCATAGTGAAAGTTTCAACCTTAGGATAATTTTTAACCATACTGAAAAGTTGAAGGGTACATTTGTACCATACAAAAAAGTTGAAGGGTAAATTTGGACATAAAAAAAAACTTTTTCCATTATATTTTATTTTCTTACCTCTCTATTCGAGACAATAATTTCATTATATTATATATATATATAGTTATGTCTTCTATGTTCAATTGGGATTGGACTCTACTATATCAATCAATTTTATCAATGTTTAAAGACTAATCCTAAGCTAATTAATTAGGCTCTACACCTGCACATTCCAATTCTATAACATATTTCACGTTGGAGATTCATCAGATAAGGGAAAATACTAGATGCTTCACTAATGATGACAATGGACATGAAAGGACCAAAAGTAAATAAAGCAGTTTTAACGAGAGAGATGGTAAACACCACTCACTTTCAATAATATAAATACTGTAAGTTTGAGTAACCAAGAGAGCAAAAATGGATCGAAGCTTGTAGAGAAGGGTTAGAAAAGAACCAGGGGACAACTTAATTAATTTCGAAGAGTACATGGACAAATTTATTCGTTTTACCTTCTTTTTTTTTTACACTATTTAAAAAAGACTGTATCTTTTTCTTTTTAATTTAACAAGCAACAAACATGACATTTTTAATACTTCAAGGTGTTTCAAAAAATTTTATGCTCCGTACACAAGTAGATATTTACACGTATATAAAATTAAACAAATGAACTTATATATATCCTACCTGTCATAATATACGTAGAATGCCAATTACATGTTTAATTAGTTAAGAGAAAATTAAACTTATCTTGACAACATTAATTAAGTGGTTGATGAGCGTAGGAGGTGGACTTTAACATGCATCTATATGCATGCGGGGAAATATACCATTCCTATATATGACTATACTATTATTCTACATCTATGTCTATATCAAGCTAATTAATTATTAATTTAGATACAAAGGGTTGATTAGGTCGGCAAATAGGGTATAGTAATAATTATTATTTTTTTAATTTTTCGTTTAGTGTCTAGAATTCACATTAGAACTTCAATTAAATCTAGATCGCGCACTGCAGGGTCCATTCAAGGTAACGCTCCAAATAGTATTTTCTCCATACCAAGAGCTCGAACCCAATATCTCTGATTAAAAATAAAACACTCCCGACTAGTAATACACCACAATCCATGTTGATAATAACTAATATACTACATAGTAACAACTAACAAGGAATTACTTCTTCAATTTTGCAGGCATGCAGTTTCATAGATAGCAGATAATAAAATTCAACTCCGTTTATTAGGAACGTTGAAATATGTAATCATCTTATCTAAAAATTTAAGTTATCAGTTTCTTAGAGAAAGCATATTCAATATGTCTCGTGATTATGTGTGGGCGTGACTCTCTTTTCGTAGGCCAAACACGTGACACTGATACCATATGTAAAAGTGTGTGACCATCTCATATGATATTTAAGGCTAGGTGGATATAGTATGGAGAGGAATTGTCAACATTGTACAATAATAATATAGATTATTTTCAAGCTCCAGGAAGCAACTTTTAGATGCTTTTGGTCCCAAATATCGTTGTGGTCTCACAAACAATTAAGTCCAAGATCTGCCAATATATTCTAACTCATACAGGTTAATTACTTCCAATAAATAACAAGCAAATTAGAGTAGTGTAAAAAAAATGATTGCAATTTATAGAGAAACATCTTAGACGAGAGAAAGTTGCTCGCATGAAAAGTATCCTTCACTTTCAATTCGAAGGTTGCGAGTTTTAGTTACCAAAGAAGCAAAAAGGTGAGAACTTCCGAGGAGGGTAAAAAAAAAGAAGAAGAGTAACAACTAAATTTTGTTTATAAGAATAGCTTGCATCAAAAACAAAATAAGGAAGTATGTTAGTGATGGATCACTATATCACTACGACAAAAATAACTTTTAACAAAAATAAATATGCACATTAATATTTACCAAAAGTATTAAAATTTTTACCGATATTAGTTAAATATTATTAGATTCAATGCCGAGATAGGCTTAAGCTATTGATCATTTTTTGTGTAGTGTATGTCTCTAGTACCACCCGACTCTAATAACGTGAAAATCCGATAATGAGTGGCATTGAGACTTGAACTCGACACCTATTCATGCTTTATAACGTAAGACATGCCTCATTTGTTTGCACTTAATGAGAGTCTGAATCTTAATCATTTAGATTCAACCCATAAGTGCGTTTGATTTTAGGTTTGATTTTAATCATTAAGATTCATTCCATTAAGTCTATTTGTTTCTTTTTTTAAAAAAAATCTTATTGGGTCTTAATGAATCTGAATGAATCAGATTTATAACAGAGTCTTAATACCATCTTACTCTATTGAAATAATAGAAGTTCTTTCATAAACACATTTTCTTCTTCCTTGCTTCTCTTCAGGACAAGTTTTAAGTCTTCCTCTCATTTTCCAACCAAATATTTTTTTTTCTTTTGAATAAGTAAGTTTTCATAATCTTTTACAAGTATTTACATAATATTTTTAATGTATACAATATTCTTGGGTGAATTGATATTTATGAAAAATTCTTCATGTCACAATTCGTTTGTTGTCAAAACTTCTTTGGAAAAGTTATCTTTGTTTCATGAGAAAACAAATAAATCGTCTTTTCTAGGGATGAGTTATAATCTTATTCTTGAAACAATTTTTTAGAAGAAGTATTCTTGGTTTAGATTATAACTTTTTTTGATATAATATTTAATTCCTAATTTTTTTAAAAAATATCATGCACATTCATATATTGAAAATAAATAATCATTTAGTGTTCAAATCTAGAAACTACATTTTAATGTTCAGACAAGCATTAAGATTCTAACATCTTAATCTTAATGAAAACAAATGAGACCTAAGACTCATTCTTAAAAGAGTAAAACTTTTAAGTTTCTTCCTCTTATTTTCCAACTAATTCGTCTAAAAACCTAATTAGATATGAAAGAAACTTTTTGTTTTCTAGTTAGATTAAAACAAATTAATGGAGTAATTAATTATATTACTAGTTATTACGTCTATCATTAGTACACAGCTAAGCATGATATGTTATGTATCAATTTTACATGACAAAATTGAACTTGAATAGTTTCGTTTACCTTCTATAAAATATTTTTATTGGCTAAAATCATTCATACTTTGTGGTTAGATCCTATTATGGATTTTTCACTATATTCTTCAACATCTTTATCTCTTACTTCTCGGAGCTCTGATAATGAAATAAAGAAAAATGAGAAGAAGATACCAACAACAACTGATTGACTTGACTACGTAACTATAGTTCCAGATCTGTTGCATCATATTTGCAATTACCTTAAGGTTGTGAGAGTCGAGAATAAACCCAACCTTTGCTTCGATTAGAGTTTCTACTATCGAGATTTCGGTTAAACCATGACATATTAATGATGCAAATCCAAGAAAAACAAAATTGAAAAAATTAATGCTAAACACACTTTCAATTTGTATAAATTAAAGGTTAATCCAATACCAATAATAATGTAGATTTATACCACTTGAATCACCCAAAAAAAAAAACTACAGATTAATATTTGTATATTTCAGAATAGAGATTAAAACTTTATAAACCTATATGGTATAAGAAATAGAATGATTCACTTTAATTATTTGTTGTACCTGTGAAGAAGGAATAATGTAGCATGATTATAATCCAGGACAACAACTTTAATTCAAAATATTTGAAGTAAAGACGAAGATTCATTTCCTCCACTTGGCTTAGAATCAAATTGCGCGACCTTCATGTGGTTGATTATCATCATCATCATCGTCATCATCGTCATCTTCATCATCTCTGGAACTCATCCATCTAGGATCATTATTGAGACTAAAGGGTTTCATTTGGGAACTAATCAAATTAAGAGTTGGCATCACAAGTTGATTATTGTGTGAAGTAGTTGAGCTTAAGAAATTGAAATGGTTCATATTAGCCCTTGGATCATGACTCTCAATGGGATGATGATTTGTTATATAGTTAGGAGATGGAACTATAGGTTGAAATGTTGTTGTTATTGGATTGAAATACAATTGAGAACTCGAGGGAAAAGGCGAAGATGATGATCCCAAAGATAGAGGGAAACTAGTATTTTGATGAGATTGATCATCATCTATTTGGGATGAAAATGAATGATTATGTCCAAAATGACCTAAAGACAAATTCGAATTAGGCTGATGATCCCATTGATAGTTATAAGAATTGAAAGGCATGCCTGGTAAATTAGATGATCGTTGATTTCCTAAGGTAAACATATTATCCTCTTGATTTGATTCCTCATTTGAAGCGATTGACTTGTTCCTCCCATGTTCCAAATAAGATGTGTTCGCGTTCAACCATTGAGCACGGACATCAGAGAACTCTTCATGAGATGGTTGTTGAAACCGAGTGAAGTACTCAGGTGGTACAGGAAGTGGAGGAAGAGTATCGATATCAAGTTTAGTCGCTTCTAAGAGCCAATCTACAACTTTACTAGGTTGGCTCAGGCCAAGCCTGTCTTGTAGATCATACAATTGAATTGCAGTTGGAACTGATAGTCTAATTCTTCGATCTCTAAGCCCCCTTATGGTGCACACCTTACTATGCCTATCTTTCCCTCCAAAAGTACGCGATACGCGTACTATTCTTGGGTTTTTATTAGCTCCCCATTGCCTTGAAGTACTCGATGGTGGTGCACTAGTCGTCTTTGAGGCCAATCTACTATCATTATTTGATTCTTGTTTCGTCTCAAAATTATTTCCACTCGATGAATTCATGATATGTATATCATATATCGTTCTTCATCAGCATCGATCTAGTAAAAATCAAAGAAAAATATTAAGCATCTATTAGATCGAGATAAAATATTATCAAATTATACTATACACACAAAAAAAAAAAACTCCATCAATGGAAATTTTCTTGTGTACATAGTGCAATTTTTGGGGGAAAATTGGAGTTGTGATTAATATTAGGGTAACCTCCAAAATCATTTCACTAAACACCCAAGACTTTGTAAAAATGACTAAGATCTAAAAAAATAGATGTTTAAAATTTTGTATAAACAATTACTACTATAAGAATCATGAATTGTACTTACATAATTAGGTTTTGTAGAAGATAAACTACAACTTGTATATATATCTTTGAGTGGCTAGCAAAATCTCAACATGGAATTAACAACTCTTGATAACATTTAACTTCTTTTATAATAATTTCTCCCAAGGCTTGGGGGAAAAAATGAGTTTATGGACAAAATTTGACCAAAAGAGAAACAAGAGAGAATAAATTTACAAGGATAAGTTATGGTTTGTAGAAAAAGAAGCAATGTTAGATTCTCACTATGTTATAATATTATCTCAAAAGAGGAAAGTAGAAGGCCACGTGGCGCTTACTCGTGTGTAATTCAATTCTAGGGTTGAGAAACATGTAAAGTTTTCAGTATCATGTATCTACTGTGTATATAAACTTTTATAGTATTTGTATATATAATCGCGATAATTCTTTGTCCATAGGCTACAAATAATAATGTAATAGAAATTTAATTTCTCGTATTTAGACTACTCCATCATGAATAGTTTTTTTTTTTTAACAGTCTATTAGTCAAGAAGCTAGTTATTGTAGTAGTTTCATATTTTAATTTTAAGTTTTGATTCTATTTAATGATGCTAAGAAAGGAAGGTACACTGTTAACCTCACAAGGACCACTCTAGGGTTAGAAGAAAAAAAAAAGAAAAGGGTTTATTGCTTTTCTGCAAACTATAGTAGTAGTACAAATTAAAATAAATGACTAATCATCCGAATTTAAAATTTTGAATATATATATATATGTTTGTTGTGAGATATTGTCGGTTACATGTAGAATAATTATATTAAATAATAATCAGTTATTAGGGAAAATGATGTGAAATACATTTGAACTTTGATTGATATTATTGTTGTAGTATCAAATTTTAGAAAAGACATTTTACCCCTACATTATTTAATAGTGTATTTTAAAGGTATATATGTATTTACGTGGACATAAAAATATTACATAATTATAAATAGTAATGTGTCTACGTGGACATAAATATACCTTTAAAATACACTATTAAATAGTTTGGAGGAGTGGGGAAGGTTAAAAGGTTCTCCATAAAGTTTCATATCGAAATAGCAATTTCGATCAAAATTGAAGTATTTTTCAGACCTTTTCCCTCGTTATTACAATTGTTGAATAGTGGATTTTTATAAAATAATTGTGTATTTAAAAATTTTAATTGTAATATTCTATTTATAAAAAAAGATATATGGAGATATGTAATTTTTTAATGTGGCGTCGTAGGATGTTATAGTTTCTTGTTTATGAATTATTTTTTACTCTTTGCTAAGATTGTATAAGAATGGGAGAAATTTCGGTGGTTTATACAATTTGTAGAATTTTTTTTTCATGTTTATAAGAAAAAACACAACCCGAGAAATATAAATTACTCATCCAAACAAAAGTTTAATCTCAAATTAATCTGATTTCAAATCATAATTTGTATCGCATGTCCAAGCGAATCCTAATTAAACTCATCTCATACTCCCTCTGTTCGTTTTTAATTGTCATGTTGTGTTTTAAAAAGTCAATTTGATTAATTTTCAAAGTTAAATTAGATTATTAGATATTCAAAAATTATACTAGAAGTACTACAAATTGCATTTTTTTGGCATATCAATAAGATGAAAAAAATCATGGTAAAATATTAATCGAAGTTCTTATCATTTCACTCTAAAAAAAATCATGACAATTAAAAGTGATCGAAGGGAATATTTAAAAGTGATCCAATTTTCTTTATCAGTATTATTATGGGTACTCTTATACTATCTTATTCTTTAATTCTACTTATTTATTATTTTCTTATTACTTCGAATATCGTTCTATTTGTTATTTATAATTTTCTTTTCTCCATTGTTTTCTACAAGGGTTCCTTCACTATATTATTCCTTTCTCAATAACTTTAATATATTTTACTTAATTCGAGGATCTATCGGAAAATATCTATTAATCTTCACTAGATAGAGAGAAACTCCATATACATATCATCCTTTCCAAAACTTTTTTATGAGATATATTACACTAAACATGTTATTGTTATTGTTGATTTCTAATCGAGTACGTCACCTAAATTGAATAGAAGAAAAGGGAGAAAAGCTTTTACTACATATGCATGCACAATTAAATTAGCAGAAAAGAAATACCAGAAATCCTTGTACATTAATATCTTTTAATTTATAAAGAAACTATATATGTACAATTTGTTAGTGCCATTTTTGAAAGATTTTAACATAATTATGATGAAGAAATTAAAGATTAGGAAACACATGAAAATAAAGAATGTTGATGAGTAATTAATTATTTAAGTTTCAAAAAGGAAACAAATTATTAGTAATTAGAATAACTAGTGGAGATGTAGTGGTATCCCCAAAGCTATATATATGCTCAATTGTAGATGAGGGACCAATAAACCAATAATAATAATATACAACCTCTTAAAAGACTTTGCACTTAGTACACATATATTATATATATATATATATAAAAATGGGCCACTTGCAGTGAGATTTTTTGCATGCAGCAGTAGCAGCAACTTGGACTTAACCCACTGATTAACTTAATGAATTTAATTTTAATAATTGAAAGTCCTGATTAAATTTGGATGCGTATTGCAAGCTCATTTAGGAGTGATATTCCTAACAAGATTTTCTTCATATTTAAGGCTCGAATGTGACACTTTTAATTAAGGATAAAGCAATCTTACCACCGTATTGTAACACTAATAAATTTAATTACTATTATCATTCAATAACAAGGGTAGAAAGAAAAGGACAAATATTAGAATGATCAAATTCCAATCTACTGTTCCATTGGCTAATTAAATCAACTGGAAAAGGGAAGGTATATTCACCAAAAATATTCAATATATATTAATATTGATATTGCGAGAAAGGTTTTGTGATTTCGAATTATATATTAATATTTTTTATAAAAAAAATGTATGTGTACGTAGAATAAAATTTGATTTTTAAATTTTGAATTTGCTTATGATGAAATGTTAATGCTGACAGAGGTAGAATTACTATTGAAGTATATGAATTTTGAATTTGTCATCAAACTTATAAGACGATAAGACTTAATTTTGATGTATAATTGATTCATAGGTTAATCTTTATTTTCTACCACCACTAAACCCTAAGGAATACAATAATGAAAATGGATATTTTGAGAGGCCACAATCTGCTCTAAGAGTAGAGTTGGCTACAATCATAACAGGCCAAAGGCTAATACTATAATTACTGAATTTTAGTTCATAAATATTGAGCAAAAAAAGCATCCAATGTTTACAACCCTAGCCACAAATTTCACAAGTTGCTAGTCAAATTTTCCACTAGTAAATCCCAACTAATTTGTTAGATAAAAACTGATTATTTACCTACTTAATCTTAATCTTTAAGTTAACCTACCAAATAACTAGGTGACATGCGAAAGCTGACAAAACAGTGATAAATCAGACAACAAAAGAAAAAAAAGGTGAGTAATCTAACACTTAGCATAAAATAGAGTTCAAAATATCGAAAGAAATAACTACACAAAATTTATTCAGAAATAGAAGGAAGGAACTTCAATTTAATTAGGTCAAAACACACATGCCCTAAGAGAATACTCATATTCATCTAATTTGTGCTTGAATTAAGTTATACCAAATATAGAACAAATTAAGCAACAACAGAAATAGAGGTTGCAATAAATCATAAATTGACATGATTAACTTATTGCCCCACTGTTAAGAAACATTACAATTACTTCCTTCGTTATAATTTATTTGTCCTATTTCTTATAATTTGTTGAAACAAGAATAATCTCTTTCTGTTTTTTATAACTCTTTAATTTCAACTTAATTCCATCGCAACATGTTTAAGATTACAAAATTAAAAAATATATTAATTATATTTTAAATATAAGACTACAAGATTTAAAAATCTTTTTTATTTTCGTCCCATATATAATACTAGTACTGAATCTGTTATTTTTCTGGCCTGCAGACTAACAGAATGAATAATGGACTGTGCTATCAACTGCTACTAAACTTCAAGCCCAGAAGGAGTACGTGTGGGCACTGGCCAGCATCATCACCACTTATTTCCCTCAAAAAATGTAAGGATAAACTCTCACTTACCTATTCGATAGTTTTTTTTGTTTTAATTTGTTTGATCTATTTTTATAGTAATTTTTTTAAAACAGTTCTTTAATTTCAATTTTTTAAAATGATATTTAACTACAAGACTAAAAACATTTTCGACAATAACACTCAAAAAATTTCTTTAGCTTCTTAAGCATCAAACAAATTAAAACGAAAAAAGAATAATTAACTGTTGAAGTTTGCTGCAGTAACTTTTAGCAAAATAAGTTATTTAGTTTAAATAAATTTGAATTTTGAATTTCAGTTAGTTTGTTTACGTTGTTGAGATATTTCAGATTGTTTAAATTTTAAATTATGCAGGTTATATATTTTATATTAACTATTTCAATCCTAAGAAACATTTTCAATCATTTTGTGGTGCCCCATCTTTTAGAAAAACACTAACAATGGTATCAAAACTTCATTGATCTTAAGTGATTTTTGAAATCTTTCAAAGAACTATCATACATTTTTAACCTGTAAGGACAACCTTTTTAACCCATGAAGACTATTCATTTTAACCCAGCAAGGCTACCTTTTTAACCCGTGCTTTTCTCAAAGCACGTACTTTTTTTTGAATCATTTTTAAACCAAAATAATGGCAAGCATGCCCCACAAATTTTCACATACAAAAACTATCAAATTTAGTGTGAGAATAAAATTATATTTTGAAATCTATGTGATATGTGAGGTTGTGACGAAAGAAAAACCCTTACAATCTCTCTACAAATTATACAAAAGTTCAGATTAAAACAATTTCAAAAAAACTTTTACATAAGACAATATCATCACATGTATTTTTTAAAAAACAAAACCAAATGAAAAAAAAAAAGAAATTTTGCAAGTTAAAGAATAATGAAATTTTTTTAGCATCAAGTATCAAAGCAAAAATTGAGAAGGGTTATTTTTAAAAAAAAATTGCAATAACTAAAGCAAAGGAGTGTTGAAGATTGCTTTTAGTTATTGCATAACTTTTACCAAAATAAGTTATTTAGTTTAAATAAATTTAAATTTTAGATAGTTTATTTATGTTGTTGAGATATTTTAGGTTGTTTAAATTTCATTTTATGCAGATTATATATTTTATGTTTGTTATTTAAAACCCTTTCAATACTTAATAAAATTATTGAAAGTCATTTCTAAATTGAGAAACATTTTCAGTCTGCAAACCAGTCCCACCCTCTAATTGCCGGAGAGGCAATTAATGCTTTTCCTCAACTACTCTCTCGGTTCAATTTTCACTTTATCACGAGCTCATTGATTGAGAATAAGTTATTTTGAAATTGTCATTCCAAGCTTTGATATGGGATAAAAAAAAAACATTATAATTTCGTGATAAGTTATTCCATAATTTAATCAGAACCAAATATAAAAACAAATTCATTCTAAGATTAATTATTTCTTATGGTCTCTCGTACCAAACAAGCTCTTACTTCTTAATTTATAGTCATTTTTTATACATTTTCCAAAACATCAAAATTAACACATCCAAAAGAGATATAATAAAAACATCATTTTTATTTATAATAAAATTAATACCGAACCAATAAAAATAAATGAAAATAATCAAATAAGGAATTAAAGATGAGAAGAGACTAGAGAGCATGCAGTAGTGTTAAAAGAAAGTAAGGATTTGGGGATCTTATATATGTAGTGTCACTTTCAATTGAAACTGTTATTTTCAGATCCCAATACACATAAGTTCCCCTTCCCCACACTGACACACTTACTTTCTTTTCCTTTCTATTCACAAAAACAAAAACAAAAACAAAAAATGCAAAAGGAAGGCAGACGTGATGAATTTAATGATAAATGCATGCTTCCAATAATGCACACTATTACTCAACAAGAAGAAAAACAGAAAGAAAAAAAAGCCAACAACTACCAATAGGTCCATTACATTCTCTCAGTTAATGTAACAATCCATTTCAATTTATCACGGTTATACTATTATGACGATCTATTACATATTTGAATTACTTAAAAGTCAATTTCTTTCAATATTGATGCACATACGATCAGTTACATGATGAGAGTGTTTCACACACGCGCCATTATCACCATGTCACTGTCACATTTATAATTATATCGGATTTTTTTATGTCGTCCAATTTCTTTTTTCTTTCATATTCACCATCAAACCCACCATTAAATCACTGTCGTTGATGCTATTCCACTTCTCCACCACCATAGATTTCATCATCCATAATCAAATTTACTACTGAAATCTTTTCATAACTATTGTCATCAAAATCGATAACGAACATCATAAATTTAACTGAATTGACCATTGGAACCATATCACTGTCATTGAAATTTATCACAAACGTAACTATAAATTCACCATTCACATCAAAATCACGAGTTTCATTGTCATTATCGAAATTAATATTCATACTACCACTAATTTTTTACTCATCACCAAATCCAACACAAAAAATTAATACTATATACAAATTTCATTCGAGCATAAAGAGGAGAATTGTGAAAACTTGCAATATTTGTTTTGCAAAGATTTTAGTCAAACATTGAAAAACTAGTGCTCCATTTACTACTACTGATTTTCAAGAAAACCTAGAGATAATTTTTCTGAGAGAGAAGAAAGATCTACGAATATATATTTAAAAATTGATTTTCTATGCTAAACTCTAAAAACTTTTTTCAAGAAAAAAAAACAAGATTTGAAAATTTTCTTATTTTTAATGCTCACAATCAATAAAAAAAATAAAAAAAATAAATTAAATAATCTGGACTTGATTTGACGAATTTGATGTGGAAATAGTAAGGATTGATCAATTTTAAATGTCTCGACGAAATTTTTTTCCAACAGTGAACCTAATCAATTGAAAAACTTCACGATCTTTACAATGAAATTATATCCCGCAATATTGTTTTCTAATTATCTCTTAGAAATTTATCATAAAAATATTATTTTTCACATTAGCCATAGCAAAAAGAGTCTTTGTGATAACAAAAAAAAATGGAGGAAGAAGAAAAGTAAGGTAACGTGAAGGAAAAGAGTAGGGGTGGAAATCTTTTTTTTTCTACTCAAACGCACTTTATTTATTTTTTATTTAATTTTATTTTCATGTCAGCTTTGAGGGTGATATTAAATTCACTTTTGAGTAGTATAAGTGTGTAATAGGTAATCTTAATAGTTTCAATGTGTAACTGACTTTTCGATACAATTTAGGAGTAAATTTATGTCTTTTCTCTCACTTTATATGTATTTTAATTACTTGTATCTCATTTTATGTAATGATTGAGTTAGTATATACAATTACATGATTATATATGAATTTTAATGAGTTAGATCTCAACCTATATAATTATCTATTTAATATACATCATTATATATGTATTGTAATGGTCTAGTAATCATTGATGAGCTTAAAAGATTCATAAAAGTATTACAATTCACAATTAAAAAGTTAAATTATGAAGGAGAGCAAGTTTTTAATATTATATTGTAAAAAATGCTTTGATGATTAGTGACGAAAGTCTTGGATATCTCGTAATTAGTCGAGGTATATAGAAATTGACGGGATGATTATTTCAAAATTTTACGTTTACCATATAACATTTGCAACTTGTGCTGAATCTAGAAGTTTTATTTGATCATACTTTTCTTAGAAGAAAATTACGTGCGTATTCATTATGTATTAAAAGAAAAGATAAAATTTGAATTCAAATTAATCTCATGACAATTACTTAAGCTAAGATAGATTATGACTTTTAATCATCTAGAACCTATTAATTGTTTAAAGGTTACGACTTTCACCTCACAATAGATGACTAGATCACCCATAGCATAATTAAAATGTTGATTAGTAGATAATCAAGATCAAAAAGGCTAATGTCGTTGTACTTTGTTATATACATCTTTGGACACATGAAAATTTGGTCCTAATCATATGTTAAGACTAATTGTCTATCTTGCTTGTTGAGAACATACCAAATAATTACAAATGACAATCAAGACTTTTGAGTTAGCTAATTGTGATTTTGATCATTGCATTTATTACATCTAGTCTAGATAACTATAGGAATAATAGGGTGCGTTAGCTCCTTTGGTTGAATCGCGGCGTCATATCAAAGCGTTAATTAATAGGTGTGTTCAGTATAAAGAAAAGTAATATTTTTTTTGTTGAATTTGATATGCGAGTAAAAACTATTATTTTCGAGATGGACGAAAAAAAAAAACCTTTTTTTGTTTGGACGTATAGTCTCAATTCCAACCCTCAATATTCTAATTTCCTTGTCCTTCTTAATTTAGAGTGCATCTCTAAATACAATCCTTGGTAAAGTAATAAAGACTATTTTTTTTTTAATCATAGGGGATAGTGAAAGGTACGCTCATCGAGAAAAAAATGAAAGTTTAAATAATTAACTGATTTGACGTGTATGAAGACTATTCTCTCTCTCATTTCTGGTATACTTTTTCATTTTTTAGTCGGTACTGAAATAATCAATATTGTTCAACACTAGTGGAGCTATAGCATTGTGATCAAAATTCAAAATGTCAATGTTTTGTCAAGACTATAAGATTCCAAATAAGAGTATTTGACTATCAAACTAGAAAGATGATGCCATCACACAACAGAACAGAACAGAAAAGAACAGTATAGTTAACATTGCACAGTATCAGTCTCCACAGCTAGTTTGCGAAATTTATCTAAGATTCAAGTGTGTTAAAGAATCGCGGCTAGAACTAAAGGACCCTCCGACTTCTGAAAGACGTGAATGTGTATCAGCATTCAGCAATTCCCATTCAAATGTATATATTCCTATAGTTATCTAGACCAGATAACTATAGGAATAATGGTGACAACCTCAGGTATATATTCACGCACTCCACATTCAGTGAGTTGATTCATGGATGATGATTGTTAATTTGGTCTTTAGAGAGTCAGAAACTACTCACTTGACACACCAGGATTGTCATTGTCATTATCACATACATATTGGCCTATGTTTGAGTCTATAGAAGAGCAACAACACTGATGTTCTCAACTCATGCAATCTCACCAGATTCCGGAATTACAATAACATCCAGATTAGTTGACAAACCATTTGTATAAATCAAAAGACTGTTCAATAGTCTTCTAATCCCATTTTGGTCTGATGCATAGAAGATATGTTCATTAATATAACATAGATAGCATCATGGCAGTGCAAAAAAAAAACTAAAATACGTCTAAGTTTCTGAGCCCTTCACAGAACAGTGCAGTTATATTGTACAGCATTATCCCCAACAAGTTGGCAAAGTTCATCAAGATTCAAGTGTTTCACAGTGTCTTTCAAAAGATATACACGTGTATTAGCAATTTCCTTTTATGTGTACTAAGAGTTTTGCATCCGATCTTGGACACTCGATAAAACTGAAACGATACAGAGAAGATTGACATGGCCCATGCACAAATCAAGATATGATAAAAGAGTATTGCCTTGGGTTTTAACCTCAGCTATTCGTGCTCCATGCTCATCTAAGTTTCCTGCTGGACAATGATAATTATATTAAACTCTAGGAAGGAGCAACTAAACTGATGTTCTGTAGTCATACAATTTAACTGTCACTACAATTAGTTCACACACCGTACCACAATAAGTATACGATAGATCCAAAGATGTATCGGAGCTAGTTATCATCTTGATCTGAAATGAAAACTGCAGATCAAGATTCTTTATCCAGACAAGGACTATGTCGTAATGACTCAATGCACAACCAGGAAGGACAGTGTATATCTAAGATTGCAAGGGATCAACAAAAAATAATCAAGATTGAGCAAAATTAACATTTATACTATATATAATAGAAATTTTCTAACAGAGAAAGTATTTTTCAGCTTACATTTCAATTTACTTTCTGCAAAGTGGAAACAAGATTTGAGGCTCCAAAAGCTGCAGAGCCACCAACAACAGAAAGTAGAGCAACCACAACTTGCAAACCGATTTGCCAAGGGTAATCTTCCGGCACCAGATACACACAAACAGGACCCACAGCCAACAATCCCAAACTCAAACTGAAGAGTGCTGATGGAGTTGAAGGGTCAGTAGCTGCTGAAAGAATCCCCAATTCTTCGGCTTTTGAAAGAAGACCAAGTCTTTCAATTGTCGATAAAGAGAGTCCAGATTTCTCAGCAGCTGATAGTAAACCAGCTTTCTCTGCTTTAGTTAACAGTCGCAGTTGCTCCACTCTTGTCAATAACTTCACTGGTGGTGTAGACGAAGAATTGCCCGGCCTAGGTTTCTCCCCTACTGGAAATACAGTTGTTGTCTGCAGTAAATGTTAAAACACAAATGAATTTTCATCGTATGTGCATATTCCTCTGTCCATAGAGTACACTGGATGTATAGAAATGGCAGGTCCATTTCTCAACTCACACATTTCTTCATGATTCCAATTTTCTTCAACAAAGAAAGTAAAGTTTCTGAGATAATGACCATCTCTGGATTTTAACTAAGAGTAACTGTCAATGATCAACCGAAATAAGACTGTTCTACCTATTTCCAAAGGAACTTGAGTTACATCTCTTTTTCATTCGCCCCTTTGATACCCCAAAAATTGAATAAAATTATTTTTCTTAGCAACCTATACAATGATCAATCAGGTTACAAATTCGACCCGTGAAACATCAGAGAATTTTAATAGCTCAGTTGATTGATCTATCTGAACTTTCATCTTGCTAGGGATAATCGATTTCCCACTTTGTAAATCCCCTCCCACCCACAATTTGCATTACTAATTATGTAAAATGTTGAGATATAATGCAGTGAAGTAGATAAAAAATCAAACCTTTTTACTAGTGGATGGAGTTGGTTTTTGCGTAGCCATGGATCGGATGAGAAGTGGTGCGTTTGAAGCAGAGAAACGTGAAATCGCAACGGCGCCGTCCATCATCATCATCTTCTTCTTTTTCAGTGGTTCAATTATTTGTGCTAAAAGAGTTGAAAGCTAAAGCAAGTTCCCATTTTTGTGAGGCCACACCCCGGAGAAGATAGCATGAAATGTCTGATCAAATTCTAGCCGCTAGATATTCCACGTGGCACTTCCTGGTTGGATATATACTGGTCCTATGCGTGCTTGCCTCCTCCACTCACTTGCCTCCATGGAAATTCTTTTAATTAATCTTTCAAATTAATCCTTTCGATAAATTCAAACTTGTCTCATAATTGTTCGATAGTTTGGAAAAATATAAAATTATTTATTAGTAATAAGTATTAATCAATAAAATAATCAATGGAGAGCCAAATACTCGTAGATATCACTTATTTTGGTGAAATTGATAGAAAATAATAAAATTAATTTAAAATTACGAAAAATCTTTTAGTATTCATAATAGATTTATAATTTTAGATTAATATAGTAAAAGATCATCAACGAAGAATGAAGGGGAAGAAAGCATAAATTCCAAAAATAACACGTAATTACGAATAAAAACCCTCTCGATCATATATAAAGCAATTCAAACTCAATTTTAGTTGAATGAAATCAAACAAATAGCACAACTATCTTTGGATAGAGAAAATACATAATATTAAATTTATGAAATACTGTAAATTTTTCACTTATTAAATAGTTATAAATATAAATAAATTATTTAATTAAATAGGACTACTCAAATAAAATACTATGGTAAAACTTAAAAAGGAAAAATTATAAAAAAAACGAGTACATTATGAAGGAATTTTGAAATAGAAAGAAAAAACCTAAAATGCCCTTGTGGGTGAAGAGAACCCGATTGTATCAAATTGCCTAGAATAAAACCTGCAAGGCCCTAATGCTAAAACCCTAACCCCTTAGAGATTTTTGCTCCTCCTCTCAGTCGTACTCTCCTTCTCTCGACTAGCTTCAATGGCGGACTCTGTGATATCAGTTGACAAGGTCAAAGCTTTCTGGCACTCTCAGGTTCATGACGAAGAGAAATGGAATCTCAACAAGGTATCTCCTTTTCATGATTTTATCTCTTTTTCTAGATACACGTTATTCATTAAAATCAGTAACCAGAGAAAATTTTGCTTCGTTCGTTGTTTTGTTTTCTTCTGTTGTGGATTTTATGGCCGATTATACTCGTTATAGTAATGAACAACGAGTTAAGCGCGTTATAATTGGATCTTAAGAGATTTGAGTTAGGATTAGAAATATTTTGGCTGAAAATGTGATTGACAATTTGATTGTTTTGCTGCCTAAGCGAAATATTCAGAAGAATGGATCTTATATGTTTTTTTCTTAAACAGTGTTACTAGAATTAATAAGTAAATTCAATAAAATTTCAGTTTGATTTCTAGAATTAACTTGTTAATTCTGATTACATGTTTCTCAAAACACATAAGCATAGAATCTTTTACTTTTGTTCTTTATTGTTTTGTGTAAATATATATCTTTAGTGTGTTTTTATTGTTTAAATCCTCTGTAACAATGACTCACTGAACTTATGCATGCATATATGTGTTTTGCTAACCTACTATAACCATGTTGATGTGAGAGGAATTCAAATTAGGATAAATTCAAATGTGAAACGTAAAGATCATGAAATGGCAGAGAGGAAAACATTCATCTTCTTTAGCATATGTAGAAGTCATCTTTTTGTTTCTGTAAAAAGTTCCTGTCCCTGCATTTCTTTGATTGCCAAACTAAAATTGTGCGGGCATTTCTCTTCTTCAACTAGCAAAACGAAGCATTATTAATGGAGTATAAGAGTATTTTGTTGTAAACTTATAACAAGGTGATAAGCCTGAACAGAAATAACAATCAAATCTTTCGTGAGAAGAAGGTTATTGTATTGCATATGCCAGAAACAAAGACTTATGGCTATGATTTTCTATGAGAAGCAATAAATTCTGTCAAATATGGGTTGCAGAAGCTTTAACTTTTGAATTGATAGGCAACAATTACTGATGGGAAGAGCTTTGGTATAGGGTTGAGTCAGACAGTGAATAAAGTAAAAAGGAGGAAGGGGAATTGGGTATAGATTTTTGGTGGAACAATAAAAAAGTCCCTCGTACTCTTAACACTTCTTAAATAAGATGTTAGGACATTTAAGGAAACTACAGGCTGGGTGCATTGATAACCTATTATGACCATGTAGTAGGTGATTGAAGATTGCAGCAGTAGGAAAAGGTGTTGCAAAAATAGATATTTCTCTAGGCTACAAGGAATTGGAGGCAAAAAAGGTGGCTAGAGATGATTTCACTGTGGGAGAGATATTTATCAGCGAATGAAAGAAAAATCCTTGTAATCAATGTGTTTTGGGGTATCAATGGAAAGAGAAATTCTGCATAGTGCTAAGCTACACTGCCATGTAGCAGGTTGGACCTAAACGCTTAGGACAATGCTAAGCTACTAGGTTTATGTTGGCGAAACCCTGATCTATGTTACAATAAATAACTATTTGTTTGATGAGATAACTCCTAAGGAACAACGGCACAGTGGTTGGTATAATTTTTGAATCATTGCGTCACATATCTATGTGGCCCAGATACCTCAAGACCACGTGTCACACTCATGTTGACCCAACATGATTTAGGCGTGAGTGTGGGATATGGATCTGATTTGGCTGCTTGACTAAAACTATGGTAGAGAATTATAGGTTGGTTACATATTTGGTTTAGATTTTTGTGTTTTATTTATATGTAAACATGTGTGTATAAAAAATGTAACTTGTTTTTTCATGATTAGATATATTGAGAGAGATTCATACCTGTGAATTTTTTTTCAGACTCTTGGTTGTGTATGATATGATCAATGTTCTCATTTTCTGGGTTTAATAGAGATTACCTTAATCTTTTTTGCACTTTGCTTTTGCAGAAACTGCTTCGAGCTACTGCTCTATTTGCTGGGTCCATCATTTTGATGCGCCAGTATGGGGATCTCATGGCTATCTGAAGGACGATTGATATTCATTCTCAGCCTCAGATTCAAGTCGGATGAAGACCTAATCTCTGCCTTCCCCTCCCCCCCCCCCCCCCCATTTTATGGAAGTATGAAATATTATGAACTAGAAACTGTAGCTTATCTTCAATTGTCTAGGACAGCTTTTTCATCTTGTGTTTTGATGCCCTAAGTACTTGAAATTTCTGGCTATTTATATGTTTGTGACATGGAAATGAAAGAGCAGAATGAAAAAAACAAAGGACCAATAAATTGAGCCATATTATTCGTGATTTTTTGTCAATTTTTTGTTTGATGGACTCTGAACAGAACTACCGGTTATTGATCATGTACCAAAATCTCACATTTCACATCCCTGGTCCAGGTTGCAGCAATAATGCTGGTTATTAACCGCCCTGGAAACACTCCTTACATTGGCAGTGACACTATTCGGCACTTCGTTTGATATGTGAACGTGCATCGGATTGTTTAAGTGCCAAAATTACCATTCAGCTATGTTCGTTTGTAGCCTTACGTCTTTCAAAAGGGGCTACAGGCTCTTAAGGAAGGTGCACTTTTACATCTGCTTTAACAGTAATTTGCTCGAGTTGGTGCACTCTATCACTGAGCGTAGTAGCCTGTCGTGGCGTATTTGAAAATTGAAGCTAGGTTTGAAATGTATTTCACTTATGTCGACATCAGTAGTTTGTAGCTGTAGGTGAAATGTCAAACTACATAGCTGTATGCTAATTTGCTGACTTTTTCTTCAATATCTATCTCTGTCATAATCATATCCATTCCCAAATCATTGACTGATTTAAATAAACAATGTAGTTGACTTGAGAACAATCCTTCTATAAAACAAAATATGAATAATCTTCACAATTCCATACTACCACATCACATCTTAATCTTGTATCATGGCTTTCACTACCTATCATTCCATCCTCTTTTGTTCACTTCTCCTCTCCATTTCTTCTTATTGCATAGGCCAAACTTCTCCTCAGACCGAAGCTTTCATCCTTCCTGTGAAAAAAGACTCATCTACTCTCCAATACATCACACAAATTGGTCAAAGAACTCCTCTTGTGCCTATCAAGTTAACCATTCATCTTGGTGGACAAACTTTATGGGTAGACTGTGAGAATGGTTATGTGAGTTCCACTTATCAACCGCTTCTTTGTGGCTCAACTCAATGTACCATTGCCAAAGTTGACACTTGTGGAAACTGCAGCACCAGTGCTCCCAAGATTGGCTGCAACGATAATGCATGTTACAACACCCCTGAGAATCCATTCATCAAGACTTTATATAGTGGTGGACAACTTAACGAAGATGTATTATCGATTCAATCCACTGATGGATCAAATCCTGGTAAGTTTGTCAAGATCCCAAATTTCATTTTCACTTGTGCTCCTACATTCTTGACTGATGGTTTAGCTAGTGAGGTGAAAGGTACAGTTGGATTGGGAAGGAATCGTATCGCGCTTCCTTCCCAATTAGCTGAAATCTTCAGCTTTACACGAAAATTTACTGTTTGTTTGAGTTCATCCACACAATCCTCTGGTGTCATATTTTTTGGTGATGGCATGATGCTTCCAAATATTGATATCTCAAAAGATCTCATCATTACGCCGTTGATCACCAACCCTTTTGGTACTGGATCTGTTCCTTCACTGAATGAACCTTCCTCAGAGTACTACATTGGAGTGAAATCTATTAGAGTCAATGCCAAACCAGTGACAATTAACAAAAAATTGCTTGGGGTTGACAAGAACGGAAATGGTGGAACCAAAATAAGCACAGGAACTCCTTATTCAATGTTGGAAACTTCCATCTATGATGTTGTGACTAAAGCATTCATCGATGAGTTATCTAATGCAACCAGAGTGGCTGCTGTGGCACCTTTCGAGATATGTTTCAGCTCAAAAAGTGTTGGTAGCACAAGGGTTGGACCAGCTGTTCCTACCATTGATCTTGTGTTGCAGACTACACGAGTTTATTGGAGGATTTTTGGCGCAAATTCAATGGTGAAAGTTAGCCAAGATGTGATCTGCTTAGGATTTGTGAATGGAGGGATTAAACGTACTGCTTCAATAGTTATAGGAGGATATCAACTTGAGGACAATCTTCTACAGTTTGATCTTGCTAGATCAACACTTGGTTTTA